AGGGTTTAGGCGTTTAAGGTTTAGGGTTTAGGGGTTTAGGGTTTAGGCGTTTAAGGTTTAGGGTTTAGGGGTTTAGGGTTTAGGCGTTTAAGGTTTAGGGTTTAGGGGTTTAGGGTTTAGGCGTTTAAGGTTTAGGGGTCTAGGGTTTATGTAGGGGTTTAGGGTTTAGGGAGACTTTGCCTTGCACGACTCTGCCCGCTTACAAGGGGCGGTCGCATGCTGTAGGGTTTCACGTCTTGTTTCGGAATGAGAGACCAGACAAGACGGGGTACAGGCAATGCCAAAGTTCGCGTTGACTTCGAAGCGACATGCCTCAGGCAGCAGCAACAACAGCATCATCGTCATGAGCCGCAACAACAGAAGCAGAAGCATCAACGGAAGCAGGAACAGCGACACAACGACAAAAGTAGCCGCAACAAGAGCCACGCCAATCATCGTCGTCATCTTTGAGTCGTCTTTCTTTTCACAGTAGCACGGAGAATCAAGTCCTGTGATCACCGCTACAGCTCCGAGTTAGTCTCTATGGAATCTATTGCCCTCATGATCACAGTTCGTGTTGCCCTACTTCCGTACGGCTAAGACTGGGTGCAGCTACAGATGCACGGACATGAAGAGTTCATGCACACGCCGATTTAAATCCAAATAGTAGAAATACATGCAAGACATGTGTAATGGACTGGACTGCATTGTGCCCAAATTTCCTAAACTCAATGTCGAGGCATGTCACGCAGTGTAACGTACAGCACCTGTAATGCACTTGCTTGTGTTCTGCGATAATGAATCTCATTGTGCTTTGCAACTCTGTGTCAGTATATGCATGTGCCTTGGCATACGCGTGTGCTGTGTCGCCATGCTCTGTCACAGCCCAACTGAACAAAGGCCCCTGGGCAATCGAGTCATGACCTTGCGGCGAGTCTTCCTCGTGTGGGAAGGTCTTTTTGATCAGCCACGAAATCGTTGACCCCTCGTACCCTCACGGTTTACTGATTCCATCAGGGTACGTGAGAGTGACAGGCGCTAATGGTCGAGTTCCGAGAGATCAAGGAGAAGCAGGAGCGGGAGTTTGCGCAGCACGAGGAGGCCTGGCAGGGTAGGATTTGGTACCAGTACTCGGCAATGGCCTGAACAAGTACACATACCCCTCTTTAGGATAACTTTTTGAAGCTCAAACATAACATACCCCAAACCCCAAGTTCCTATTCTAACTGTCATTGCTGGCAGAAAGCAACCAGTGCCATGATTCTTGTTGGGCAAAGCTGATGCGATGCTGGCTGTACATGTTCGAGATTCCCGTATCAAGCCCATGCTATGTTTTGCCTCTGGAACTCGGATTTCTTTAGAGACCGAAACCTCCAAAGCACTACGCACTGCTTCCTGTGAGTGTCTTGATGTGTTCTGTGCCAGAAGGCCTTCATGGACAAACCATCCCGATGTTCAATTGGGCAACTTCAGAAAGAACGGCTTTTGCGGACGTTTGCGACAGAACCTTACATAGTGGGATCCTCAGAACAAGGACCCCTCAAGTTAAAGTCTAGATTGCTTACATGAGCATATATTGAGCCTATTTGCCTGAAGCCCAACTGCTTCCTCAGGAAGCCGCAGCGCACGTGGCACAGGCTCGAAGAAAGAAGGGACATGGCTAGTCGGAGAGAACCGCTGCGATTCCCGATTCACCGCTTCCCGAAGTACACACCACCTTGGGGTTTAGGGTGCAGGGGTCGGGATTCAAAGTTTCAGGTCTGAGTTTGCATGCAGTGTCTTGAAAGTTGAAGTTGTTTTTTTGTTTAATGTCAGGGTTTGTTTAAGGGTCTAGGGCCTTGGGGTTTGGCGGTCTCCGGACCTCCAGGCTTTGGGCTGGGAGTGCTTGTTGCTGGAAGCCTTGCCTGCCCGGGGCGAGTGTCAGAGAGTCGATGCTCAAATCCGCGTGTAGAGTTTTTTTAGGGTTTAGGGGGTTTAGGGTTTAGGGGTTTAGGGTTTGCTACCCAGCTGATTGGCAGAGTCTAGGTTCAAAAAAAGGGTTTGCTAAGCCGTTATGTTCCCAAGGAGAAGCAACGGCTGTGGTTTTCAGAGGGCCTATATAGGACTAGCCCAGGCTTGTAAAGCCTCTTTAACTAGAGCCACGTAATCAACAGCTGGAAGCTTTCCTACTGTTGTCTGCCTCTGTTCTGAACATGACCCTGCATAGCAGGCTCGTCCTTGCTAAGTGGGAGGGAAAAAAAACAGCTAGTCAAGAGCCTCATAAAGCCCTGCAGACCCCTGTAGCACCCCCGACCTTGAGATCTTTCTGGGGGCTAAGCCTAGCTCCAGAACCCGAATTCCCCCCAACCCTAAACCCTAAACCAGCCTTGTGCGAGTGTGTGAGTCGAAACCCTAAACCCTAAATCCAAAAAGGGAAAAGAAACCCTAAATCCAAAAAGGGAAAAGAAACCTTAAATCCAAAAAGGCGAGGCAGAAGGACCAGTCCCAGATTCAGGAGACGGCCTTGCCTAGCACCTTTACTTCTTCTGGGTTGGGACTTCCGATCTGGTGCTTCAGATTTGGTTTTGGTGTATGTCTGTACCCTAAACCCTAAACCCTAAAACCCTAAACCCTAAGCCCTGTCTGTGTGTGTGTGTTCATCGTTAAAGAGTTCGGGAATCGCTTCAATTTCGGCTGACTTTGGAGGTTTGGGTGGTGAGGGAGTTTGCTCATGCAGATGAGTTAGACTGCAGTTCGGGCTTGGGTACGTTGTGTTCCTAGCTACTCAACGGGGAGTAACCCCCGGAGTAGCGCGCAAGCGGTCCACCCTCTCGAAGCCATAAGAAGGCATTGACTGGAAATGCTCCCTAAACCCCTAAACCCAACCCTGAACCAGTCTTACCGTCAACCTGCTCCGATGTGTTGCAAATGCGGTGGTTCGAATTGTCTGGAGCCTTGCCTGCCTTGTGCGAGTCGTGAGAGTCGAAAACCCTAATCCCCTAAACCCTAAACGGCCTTAAACCCCGAACCCTAAACCCTAACCCTAAACCCCTAAAACCCTAAACCCCTAAACCGTCCTTGCTAAGCGGGAGGGAAAAAAACCCCTAAACCCTTAAGCGACCTGTACAGGAGCTCCAACGACGTTACACCGCCTTGGAGGAGGCCTTGTCAAAGATCCGGAGTGTCGGGTTGCCCATGGTTTGCTGGAGGCGACCGAGACTTCCTGATGCTTTAAGGTTGAGGGTTTAGGGTTTAAGGTTTAAGGTTCAGGGTTGAGGGTTTAAGGTTTAAGGTTCAGGGTTGAGGGTGTCTCAGAATGTTCCCGACGCCCTAAATGCCATAAGCCTGAGCCTAGTTGAGCCCGCTTGCCTGCATCCGCGCCTGCCTTGAGCGAGTGCGCGACTCCAAGTCCCATAGTCTCAACTGCTCCTGTAAGGGAGAAAGATTTTTTTGCCAGTGGAAATGTTTATTACAGCAGAAGAGATCGTGATACATGTCGAAGGCCCTAGCAACTGCAAGCAAAGCTTACGGCAATTGTTTGCAAGCACAATCAAAAAGACTAAAACCCAACAAAAGCGAAACTCCCATCCCGCCATCCGGTACCAAGCTTTCGATGTCGAGGCAGCCCAAGCCAAAGAAGCCGAAGGCTCATTGAAGGGAGAAGCCGTTTTTTTCGAATCATCGTGTTGGTTCTTAGGGGTTTGGGGACTCGACAGCTAAATATGCATCTAGTCTATGTGTTTCTTTGCTGCTATTGGTTTGAGGGGGTTCTGATGACTCCAAGCATTGTCCTGGGCAGACGGGCTCAGCGCTCCTTGCCATTTATTGTATCATCTGCAGCAGCTGGAGTTTGTGTTGCATCATAACCAGAGGACCAAGGTCGAAGGAGGAGAAGTATCTGTCTCATGTAGCATGGGAAGTAGGTGCAGGTGGGCAGACAGGCGCTTCTCCTGCTCTGATAGACTCCAGACCACTACGCCGCAAGTCAGGGTCCTGAGGTGCCAGTAACCATGCACCATGGTGCCGGTCGTAACTCCGGTATCTCCATAAAATTCTAGGTTGTCGAAGGGAGGCTGGGGGTTTTCGGGTTATATATCCCCCCACCCACCCCCCGAGCTCCCTTATAAAGGATCCTACAAAAAAATATGAGGTCTTTGACTGACTGTTTTTTGGATTCGAGGGCCTCATTTTTCGAAGGAGCGCGGTTGCAACGGAACATGGAGCACCGACATGGCGAGGCGCCTGTTTAAGGGAGGGTTTAGGGTTTAGGGTGCCTTGACTAGCATCTGATTTGATGCTAGAACAACAGTCAGGGCTCAAGCAGATCAGAGGCGAAGGCAGAGGCCAAAAAGACGTTGATTGCTGGACATAGGTGACATAGGTGCCGCACCGCCCTGCTCTATGCTCTAAGCCCTAAACCCTCAAACCCGTGTGCATCGATCCCAGAAAGCCCAATATACCCCTTAATTAAGGACTATACCGTAAATCATAATATTAAGGCCCCTATAACTTAAGGCATGTTCCTTAATTAAGGGGTGTATAGCTTGCCATCCGACAGGCTGTGGATCAACTCAGCCGGCTCTACCAGCGAAAGCTGGCACATGAGTCGGACAGGCTGCTGACGCTGCGGCGCCTTGCTTCTTTTCAGACAGCCGCTCTAAACTCACCCAACTCACTCTGCATCACTTCGTCACGCACCTTTGACTTCATGAGTACTGGCCAGGGAGTGGGAGACTGGAGTGTTGTCCAGAGCTTGCGAGGTTGCAGATAGACGATCTACAAGAACAGAAGCACAAGGACGGAGATCTGGATGTCCTCACGGTTGGGGGTTCAGGGAGCACCCGGTCGACTCCGGCACGCTTTGTGGGTCCATTTCAGATGACCAGCTCAGGGGCTTTGCACGCTGCACGGCCTATCTTAACCCTACCTAGAGCAACCTACAACGCCTCAACCGCATGACTGTTTACTGGTTCGCTCAAGAGGCACTGCTTCCCCTCCTTGGCGTGAAGGGTTTGAGCATGTCTTGAGCTCAGAGGCTCTGCTAATACTAAGGTTTGCCATTGGTGTAAGCCGTATTGACCCCAAAAACTGAGGCGCCGAGGCAAAAAAAAAACTAAGACCGTGAGCCGATGTTTGTCGAGTTCAACTGCTAGCACTCTTGTGAGAAGGCTTCGGAGATGACTTGCCCATTGTTCTTACTTCAGCTGTACTGTATTCATTTCCTCCTTGTTTCTTGAACGGCTGCGTCTTCCCTGATGTTCTGAACCTGGATCACTCAACATAATGGGGAAAAATACTATTTTCCCCATTATGTCTTGTCTCCATATTATATGTTTAGGGGGAAAAAATACTTTTTCGTTTAGAACCTGGATCCTCCCTCGGCAGAAACTTGATATGGCAAGCAGGAAGAGGAGCAGCACTTGCGCCAGATGCATGAGTCTGCTGTGGCGGCCGGCTTCTCAGACACGCGGGAGCTGGGAAGAGAGATCGGCCAAGAAGACACGATGCTACGGAAACCGCGAGTCATTGCCTAAATGTTGGACTTTCGCAGCTCTTTCGGTACATAATCATATATATTCGAACTTGCTGTTTGTATGTTCGCATACATGCATGCATGCTGGCTTGCCTTCATACGTAAATAAGCACATACATCCAGACCTACACGCATAAATACCAACATCAGGGCACATGACACACATGGAGGTACTGTGCCATACCATACTACCATACCCTACCACGCCCTACCCATACCATACCATACTATCATCTTATCATACCATACCATGCCATGCCATACCATCCCATACATACGCATACGCACGTGCACATGTACGCACCCGCACCATTCCACGTAAACGCACACATGCACGCAAATGCATGTGTGCGATATTTTGCACTCTAACAGACCATACGTTTGGCAACATTCAGACTTTCAATTCACGTAGCAGCCGTGCTGATCATAAACCCTTAACCGTCAAACCCTAAACTCTAAAGCCTAAAGCCTACAAGCCTAAACCCGAAAACCTTACAGAGCCCTCAACCCTAAAATCACAGCCAAGCGTGTCAGGCCCAAGAAGAGCTCTCTCGCTTGCTCGCTGAGAGAGATCTGGAAATCAAGAAGCATCAGGCCATGGCTCGCTGATTTAGGGTTCCTTTAAAGGGTGCTATAAGGGTTCCCTTAAAGGGATCTATAGGGGTTTAGGGGTTTAGGGTTTAGGGTTTAGGGGTTTAGGGGTTTAGAGGTTTGGAGGTTTAGGGGTTTAGGGGTTTTGGGGGTTTAGGGGTTTAGGCGTTTGGGGGTTTAGGGTTTAGGGTTTAGGGGTTTAGGGTTTAGGGGTTTAGGGTTTAGGAGGAATCTTTAATTTAAGTGTGGGGGGGGCTTTAAAAGCGGTTGTTGGGCATACCATGCTATTTGTGGGGGCTTTGAGGATTCAAAGGCGGGGGTTTTGGGCCTCTTATATATGTTAATGGTGGGGTTAAAGGATTTAGAGAAAGGTTTTTTGACCACATTATGTTATTTGTGGGGCCTTTAAGGATTAAGAGAAAGGGGTTTTGGGCAACCTTTGCTAATTTTTTTTTTTTGGGGGGGGCTTGAAGGATGAGGCTAGGGGTTTTGTGCATATTATGTGGATTTTTGGGGGCTTTAACTTAATGATGAGAATAGGGGTATTGGGTATATAATACTATACTTCGAATCACGGGCCCTGAGCGTAAGCACATTGGCATGATAATGCCGGCCTCGGCTTTGTGGGGCTTAGGAGGCCTCAGGCGGTTAGAGAAGAGGGCCTTGGCAGGGGCTCCAGGTTTGTAGGGTTTAGGGTTTAGGGGTTTAGGGGTTTTGGCTTTCCCGGCTGGCGAACAGAGTCCTGGATGCAAAAGGGGTTTAGGGTTTAGGGTTTAGGGGTTTGGGGGTTTAGGGTTTAGGGTTTACGGTTTGGGTTTTGGGGTTTAGGGTTTAGGGTTTAGGGTAAGGGTTTCAGGTTTGGGGAGTGTGTGTGTGTGTTGGCAAGACCGCAGGCAGACTCCAAGAGTAATCATAGCATATAATGTCTGATGCACCAGATGTGTGCAAGGCGACGACTTCTTCGGCTGTTTTAAGTATTGAGTGTTGGCTGTGGTGGGCCCAGGTCTCTCGGCTGCGCTCCGAGCCAGTGTCGGGGTGTATATCGCCCGTATGTGTCCAAACCCTGAAATAAACCCCTGAACCCCAAACTTCCAAACCCCTGAAACTCATCCTTTGGAGGACCTCTTGGCCTTCGTCCAGCATCGCTTCGAGGAGATCCAGGAAACGGGCGGCGAAAACCATGCGCCCAAGCTTTTCAGTCGTTTTAATATGCTTTGGGGGGCCTTAGTTACTGGAAAAGGTTTTGGGTTTGGGATTTAGTATCCTTGTAGGGGCCTTAATTATTGGAAAGGGCTTTGGGCTTAGGGTTTAGGGTTCAGGTTTAGTATCCTTGGGGCCGTTAATCATTGGAAAGGGTATTGAGGATCACAATATAGAATGTTAATAGAAGAGTTACGATCTTCAGAATAATCCTTGTAGGGGCTTATTCCTTTCAGGCAGGTTGAAGGTTCAAGATTAGGTGCCTACTGCAAACGAACACAACCGAATTCAAGTGTGTGCGAGGAGCCGAAATAGTTGGAAAAGGGTTTTGGGGATCGTAGAGTCAGTCTAACCAGAAGTGTTTTTTTGTTCAAGACTAGTGTTGGTAAGTCTTCAGGCGTCTTTATTTAGAGGTTTCGGGCTTAAAGGGTTGCAGGTTTTGTTTAAACCGGGCAAGTTGTTAACCAGGTTTGATTCCCTACAAAGCGTTGTATAGGGTGCTTGTGTGATTTGCTTAGGGTTGTATTGGTGGGGCTTTAAACCCCAGTTTTGAAGAGTTTGTTCGGGGGTGGTAGAGTGTATGTATGGGTTAGACCAAGGGAGGGGCCGGGGGCGAGGAGAAGAGGGTTTTAGGATTTCAATTTCAGGGTTTGGGGCTGAGGGTGGCGATTGTATAGTATGGTTTGTATGTATGTATGTATGTATGTATGTATGTGTGTGTCTTTAAATAAATATATATATATACACATATATATATATATATGTAGACACACACACACACATATATATATATATGAGAGGGAGAGGACCTTTTATGCTCTGGTTTGCCTTCTGTTTCTTTCCGAGTACATTACTGTGAATTAAATTAATTAAGTTATTAAAATTTTTGAAATAGCAAACACTTTTACTCCCTTGCGCAACGAAAGTCGTCCGAGCTCCGGCCATTGCCCCTAAGACCCTAAGACCAAAATTAGACCAAGACGCGGGCCACATGATTGAGTCCAGGGCCCGAGTCCGTACAACCAGCTTCTGTTTTTCACAGAGCTCTGCTCTTGCCGAGGATCGGGAGGTGATACGCCACTCGGCTGCTCCGAAGCCTCGTTGCCCGTAAGGTCCTGGAGGATTGACCGGTTGCGGCTTTGATGATCCCATGGGGGCACTTGATTTTGATGATGATGATGGTGGTGGTGGTGATGATGATGGCGACCATGCAAGGAGGGTGGTGATGGTAGTTTTTGTCGAGTATGTACACGCAAACATCCAGTTTAACATTCGCGAAATGTTGATGACCACGTTGCGGGTGAAGGTGTACAAACAAGAGTAACAAGAGCATTGACCATGCTCTTGCAGTGCTGCTGCGGGGCGGCTGCTTCTGCTGCTGCTTGCCACTATGGATAGAGCTGGAAATTACTTAGTGGGCAGTGGCGGGTTGTCTTTTTTTTTAAAGTGGTCATGGCATGCCATGGTGATGCTGATGATGGTTGTGGTGGTGTTTTTCAACTACTGCACCCTGGCTTGCCCCTTCGGCTTCCAGTGCTCCCTCAGCCAGAAGTGGAGATCAAAAAGTTCCTCGTCTGGCCAAGGTCTCAAGCACCAGGGGTGGTCGGCACTGGAGGAGCAGAAGCAGGCTGGCACGGAATTTCTACAGAGTCGGGTGTGTTGCGTATAGCAGCTGTCTAGTGTCTCCCTCCATTCAACCCAAAGTCCTCTAGCTAAAGCACGGGTCTGGTAATAACTAGCAACATGTACCCATGTAGGTCCCCAAATTGACGGAAATGGCAGGTAGAGGAGCAGCTGCGAAAGGAGCAGGAGAAGCTGCAGGCAAGCCTTGAGAAGCAGGAGCTCATGCACAGGGCTGTGAATGGTTTAGGGTTAAATGGTTGAGGGTTCAGGGTTTAGGGCATCTACTATGAGTTCTACTAATGTAAACCCTGGATACTAACATGACCTGTAGGTAGGTGCGACTAGTATTGTAGTGGGTGCCAAACATAGTAGAATAGTATATGATTTAGGATCAAGTCCGAATATTGTCAACATCAGCTTCTTAGTGTTCTGATTATTCTTGTGGTTCTTGATTATGACCAAATCGATGCTGATGCGGATGCTGGTGATGATGATGACCATGATGATGATAAAATCAAGGCAATCTTGATCACTAGCCCTAACTATTAATTAGTGTTAGCAGAACCATCATCAATTGCCAGTCATCACATTTTACTGCTGATGCTGTTCCTTTTACTTGATTATACTTGTTGAGCTAGTTGATGTTTGTGGTCATTGCCTTTTATACTGCATTTATTTTCAGTGGTTCTCATCGCTGTCGTTGTCGAGGTTTTCGTCGTGGTCGTGCTCGTGATCGTCGTCGCGTTGTCGCTGTGAACTTGTCAGTGTTGCTGTTGTTGTCATTTTGCCTGTCATAACCATGTTGAATGTAGCTATTCGTTTGGGTGGCAGCATTACTATGTAGCAATTCGGCATTCTCGTGCTTTTCCAGTGCAGAAGGCTATGCATATAATCATGCCCTTAACATGAAAAGGCAAGCGAGCTCACCGCGCTCCGCCTCTCCACACCTCACCCCCGCCACCAAATCCCGCCCCGCCCCCCCCTCCCCCTCTTCACCCCCCCCCCCCCACTCCCCCCGCCTGAGATTTAACCTGGGCGTGTATCCCCTCGCCAGGCGTACAGGAACACAGGCAAACGACGCAGGTGTCTCTTTTTGCTACAGGCGCACAGCTGTAGAACAGTACTCTGCTAGAACCTTGAGTAACAGGCATGGATACATGCAAGTGATGCAGACAGGGACTTGGATGTGTAACATTCAGTGTTTCACCCCCCACCGCCATCCTCCCAACGACGGAAGTCAGACACCGATCCCTTTTGACTGAATTTGCGAGCCGGGTGGAAGATTTTGCACTGGACAGCCTCCTCGTACCCTTGGTGATTCTATAATCTTTTGAGGTTTTGGGTTGCAGGGTTTCGAGCATGACTCGAGGAGAAGGAGCGTGAGGTGGTGGAGGAGAAGCAGCAGGAGTCCAACTCGACATTGAAACTCGGACACTTCAGCTCAGGAAGTGAATTTCAGGCTACAGCGGGCAAGCATCCGTAGCTGAGCCATCACATGTCTGTTGACTGTTTCCCCTAGCACACGTTCACGCGTGTCTTGTCTCGATATACTGTGTATGAATCATATGAATGTACCGTAATGTACCTATGTATTTGGAGGCGAGCTATGAGTGCATATATCTGTACTTATGCATGGAAGGATGGATGCACGTGTGTATGAATGCATGTGTGTATGTGTGCATGTATGTATGTATGTATGTATGTATGTATGTATGTATGTGCGTATGTAGTAATTATGCATGCATGTAAGTAAGTAAGTAAGTAAGTAAGTAAGTAAGTAAGTAAGTAAGTAGGTATGTAAGCAGGTGCGTACGTTTGCGTGTGTGTGTGTGTGTACTGTATGTATGTTTGTGTTTTACTCGCTGCGTCTCTTGTATTCTCGCCCATGCTATGCCTTTGATATTCATGTCGCAGGTTGTTCTTCATAAACATGCGCACGACCAAGCATCTCATACACTGACACACGTTCAAAAAACAGGCGATTCTAATAATTCTATTGCTCGCCCTTAGACACACACCCACACACACACACTCTCTCTCTCACACTCACTCACGCACTCTCATGCAGAAACCCCCAGACCCCAACCTTAAACTTGAAGCCAACAGAACCCTGCACCCGAAACTCGCAAACCCCCGCAGCCCCGAGCCCTTCACACCCTGTTTAACGACGTGCTCTGCAT